ATAAATAGGGATGATAACAGTTTTAGTGTGAGTTTTTTTTCATTTTAAATTTGATCTAATTTTATATTTATAAAATTTGAACTTGACTTGACTTAAAAATTTTTTTAATTTTTTCATGCTTGAACCTTATTTGACTTAAAATTAATAAAATATTATTTTTTAATATAAATATAAAATTAAATAAATATATAAATATATAATTAAATAATTAATTAAAAAATAATTTTTTATATATATCAGGTCGGTTCGAATCGAATCGAATCGAATTTACCTAAAATTCGATCTCAACTTTTTTTTTATTATTATCCGATTTGATTTGACTTAAAATTTAATTTATTTTTTATTTTTTAAAATCGATCTTATAAGATCGAGTCGGATCAGAATCCATTAGAGACAGGTTGGGCTGCTAACCCTACCAATAAAGTTATTCCTCCATCTAGTACTTGCAATACAATGGAAGAACTTGGTGTTTTTGTCCCCTTCCTATATCTATTTCAGTCTTGCCTTTTGTCTCCACGTTTGTTCTTCTATAGCTTGGGTGCAACATAGTTCCTTCGTCTTTGCATTGATCATAGTACTGACTTCAACATTGGAGGGATCGGCATCATGTTTATTCTCTAGGCTGCTAATCTCACTATTTAAGAATTCTATGGATTCCATCATGCCACCTTTTACATAGCCTTTCGAAGATCGAATGTCCTGCTTTAAATGCTTCAGTTTTTGGTGAAGCCTAAAACCAGTGAAACCTTGCACCTTGTAACTGTTCTATTTTTCGTCCACTAGCATGTTAAATTCACCATTTTGTAGCCAATGGCTGAAGAGTTTGAAAGGCTTCGGTCCTAGTCCATAACATCGATGCCTGGGCAAAAGGCTATGTGGTCCGAAAAAGAACCATCTAAGCTTTATTAATTAAATAATGAAAAAGAAGATAACCAGTTCGTGGATAGGAGGAATCTGTCAAGATGACTCATTGCTGGAGAGCCATTCCTTCTGTACCAAGTGTATTTGCTCCCTATTAGTGGCAGATCAACAAGCCCTGAACTTTGGACAAAAGCATTGAAGTCATTAATGGATCTAGGCCAGTCTGAAGCCCTAACTTTATCTTCTTCACTTAAGACCGAGTTAAAATCATCTGCAAAGCACCAAAATTCATCATCAGTAATTATCAACTGTGCAACTTCGTCAAAGAAAAACTTTCTATCATTCACATCATTAGGAGCATAAATATTAATACGATTAAAAACTCCAGAGAATCCTAAGAAATTTCCTTTCAATCAAATGTATCTTTCTTGAATCACAGACGATATGAGTTGAAATTGAGCTTTACTCCACATACTAATTAAGCCCCTTGCAAGGCCACGTGAGTCATTGTGTTTGAAATTTATGTCATTTTCCCTCCAGAGTTGTTGAATGACTCTATCTGATACCCGCTTGGAATTTTGATTCTTGGATGAAAACTAAAGAAGGTTTTTCCTTAGAAATCAAATTTTTAAAGGCCCTTTTTTTTTGTAATTTTCCAATTCCTCTAATATTTATTGAAACTAACTTCATTGAAACTAAGAGCACCCTATACAGGAAGAGAAAGCATGAAATTTTTAAGGATTACCTGCCTTTGCATTCTCGTCCTTCTCTATAGCCAGAAGCTTTTCAATTATATCCTCATCATCCATGTCTCCAGTTAATCAAAGGAGCTTACCAATTTCCAATGTCTTCTCAGCCTCTACTCGTAGGATTCTATTTTTACTCTTGATGTCTTCATCTGAAATATAGGTTTTCTCTAACATTTGTAGCTTCAGAAGGTTAGCTTTATTTTGTGATTGGAGCTTCTCTTTTTTACTTTTTTCCCAGCTATTTTTCTCTTATTTATTGGAACCTTCTTGTTAATATCAGAATCAAGCACTAGCATCGATTTCCTACTTCTCCCAACATTTTTTGCTTTCTTGGTTGGGTCTTCATTTAATGTTTTTCTTTTTTTAGTGGGGGCCATACTAGTTATTAGAGCCTCTTTGTTTACTACTCTTCCTTCAACCATAAACATTTCTTCAGAGCAAAGGGCCATATTGAGCCCAAAATTCTCTTCCCCGTCATTGATAGGTCTTTCCGTGTTGATCTGTTCATCTTTACAATCATGTGGATTGGGGCTAATTTGCTTTTCCACTCCTTTTTTCCATAGGCCTACCATATTGCCCCAATTCAAAAACCTCAAACTCCTTAACTTGAACAAACCTGTTTTTTGTTCAGTGCAACTCCAAATTGATACAGCCTACATCATCAATGTCGCCTTGAGAATGTCGCAAATTTGAAAAGGATGGCTTACATATTGTTGTGTTAGCTATTGTATTCATTCTCGAGAGAATACTAGTTTTTGTTTTACTTCCATCTTTCTGCATGCATGTTAACTGTTCTTCTTCCTCTCTGTATTCTCCATTGATACTTGAGTTAACCTCATTGGGAGAACTTTCACTGACATGGATAGGACGGATTTTTCCTTTATAGTCTTCTTCACACTGGAATTCCATAAAAAGCCAGGCCCTTTTTCGATTGAACATAGGATATTGTAGTGGACCCCTTTTAACTCAACATGTATTAAATTGGATGGTCAAGCGTCTTTGTTCATAAGAGATGAAACTCTTGCTACATCCAAATGCCCTTTGAATATTGTACTGTCATCAACTGATATAAAACTTCCCAAAAGATCCCCAATTTTTTTGAAGAAACCATAAGACCAAGCATGAAAGGGGATATTTTCCAACTTTAACCACACAAACTTATTGTTGCTAATGAGATCAGCTGTCCATGGCACTGTCTAAAAGAACCATTCGCTAAGCCATGTTTTCCCTTCTTGCAGCATACCAATAATTTCTTCTTTAGATTTAAACGTTAATAGCACCAAACTTCCCCCCCATCATCGTAACTGAAAAGTGAGAAACACCTTGACTAAAAATTTTCTTTGTTAATTAGAGGGTAATAATCTTCAATTTTCATATAGGAAACCGAAGCCTTAAAGCTGACAGCTTGACTTCAATTGCTCCAAAAGAGTAATTCCAAAATTTTCTTCATTTTTTTCATCTAAAATTTGACCATTAATCAACTTGAACTAAAATACGGTCAAATTTTCTTTCAAAATTGCTTCTGGCCGTCTTAATATTTTAATTTTGTTTTATTCAGATACCCTCCATTCCAATCACAATAATTGTTCTTTGTATTTGGCCGGACAAATAAACCCTTGTTTTATATATGAAGAAGCACAGTTTTGTCAAAAGTAATCGCATTTGCGCTATGGCTTCTTCCTTACCTTCTTCTTTTGCTATAATTTCATCATCTTCCAAGCATTATTATTCTACTCGTGAAGCCATTCAAGTTAGAGGCCAAAGCTGTAGAGATGAAGGTGACTCAATACCATTCATCAGCTGTACGTATTCTTGTTAATGTTCATCTTAAATTTGTGACACACATAAAGATTTGTATGCTTTTTTTCTTCTGGCAGGTAGATCAAGTAATCGTGTCGACGCAAATTTGAGTGTTCTAAGGGAGAGAATAGAGAAGGTGAAGACCAAAGAGAAGTTGGAGGGATGTTGCAGATTTGTGTATGGTTGGAATTATGCAGATGGCTATAATCATAAGGTGAAAAGAGATGGGCAGATATTAGAATTGTTTGAGCTTGTGAGTTTGGTTTGGGTAACTCTTGGCTTCACCTGCCTTACTGGCACTGTTTTCCTTTGCCTTGTTTCTATATTTGTTCATTTGAATCAATGATTTGAATTCCTCATCTCTTTCTATCATATATAAATAGCACATATATACTCCATTTCCCTAATTAAGAGATATTTGTAAATACTTAAATTTTGGTTATTAATATTATTTTCTTTTAAATATTTTTAAAATTATTTTATGAGAATATGCTATAACAAAGGTTAATTCAAAACAAGTAATAAATTTGTTTCATAAAAAAGTTATTTTGCGAAACAATACTTTCACAAAACAATATCTTAATGGAACAACAATACTACCTTTATAGAACAACAATTTGATCTAGTAACACTTTTACTAAGAGCTCCTTCCCTAAAAGTTTCTTTACTAAGAATTATAGAATAAAAAATACTTCATCGAATGTATGTTGAAAATAAAATGTGAAAATAATCCAAAATATAACAAAATTCTTAGATTAACTTCATTATTGAAATGTTTTAATAAATTTAACTCGATTGATTAAATAATTAAAAGTTTTATCTTAATTTTTCGCTGAAGTATGAATGTTTCTCATTTTCGTTTTGAACAAAAAATAAATTCTTCTATTTACTATTAATTATCACTATAAGCTAGATTCTCATTAGACCAAACATTAGCACCTTCGTAATTATCAATTTCTACCATTATGTCTATTTTATACTAATATTATGTAACTCTTATTTTGGAAAGCTATATATAAAAGCTCCCACAATTCATTTGGAGTACTTTGGCAAATTTTCTAACTCCCTCTTAAATTCTCTCTACAATACTTCCCTAATTTTTTTTCTCAACCTTATTCTCAGCCTTAATTCAATGTCTACCACCTGCTGCCACCACACTCAATCTACTCCAATTTTTTTCTTTGCCGTCTCTCAACACATGCCTTTTATATTTATTTATAACGTTTTCTCTCTTCAGCGAAAAACCATTTTACAATCATTTTTTCTAAAAATTAAATTGAAATTCTTTTATTATCTTCAACATGTTAAATAATAGTAAGCCTTTGATTAATCCTTGTAACAATTTATCTTTTTGTATGGTACTTGTTATGTGGCTATATTAATCCATATGTTACTCTTTACCTTAATGTAGCAGGTGAGGGCGTGAGGCCATGTCTTGTATCAAATGAGTTGACCAATGATAACAGGTACTTCGAACTTATTACCAATAAATTTTAAGTCAATTGGGAAACGTATGCTCATGTTTACCAGTTATATTATATCCCGAGCTCGTCAAGCGAGTGCCTGCTAATTACCATAAACAAAATGAATCCATTCAGCTATGGAGGATAAGCCATTCACTACAAATAGGAAATGAAACACTGAAAATGTTGCAATCAATTCCATTGTCTAATGTTTCTACTTCTGCATTAAACAGTCAAGAAACCAAACAAGCAAGAGAAGCACATGAACCACCATGGCGGCTCCATGCAAGCTAGAAGGCATAATCAGGAACCCAATCGGATAACATTAAACAAAGTATGGTACTAAATTGCCTAGGATAATCTCACCACCAGCTACACCAGTAACTTTTGTGGAAAAAACATAAAAGAGCATCCTATCCTAGAGGAAGAATATGATATCTGAAGTTTAAAATGTCAATATCTATCCAGTGCCATTTTGTATGAACGCACCTGCCCATTTCAACCACAACAAATGACAAGTGTAAACCCTTAACAAAGACCTAAGCTTCGATTTTAGTTATGTAGAAATGCAACAGTGGCAACACGTGATCCCACAGATCCGCCAAACATGAATGTTGGATAAGTCCTAACATGGTTCAGATATTGGAATGGGGAACGGTCTCTCTGTGTTTCTTGGTCCTTGATTGTATTTGACTCTTGGGGCATTGCAATACTTCTTTGATTGAAATTTTCCACCTCTTGCACCAATTCATCTTTTGTATGGTTGCAAGATGTAATCACCTACAAGCGACATTTAAGAAGAAAAAGATTGGTTGGAAGTTCTTAAATCTGCAGAGAGTAATACTACATCTTTCTTTTAAATAAAATTCTCACACAACTTACAGGCATGCTGGGTATAACTGAGTCTAGCCTTCTCAAAGCTATACTCAGGATTGACTTGAAGAAGCTCAAGCTCGAGTAACTCCAAGTATCGAGCAAGCTGAGCTCAAAACCTTCGTTAAGCAATGAGAAAGTGCAATTGGACTTTTGAACTTTTTTTTTTCTTTTATATAATTTAGAATTTTTATATGTGATAAGTATATATATATATATATATATATATTCAAAAAGCTAGCACTCAAGCTCGAGCTTTGATTGCAATGGCTCTTGTTTCACACACATACAAATTTAGAAAAATATAAATACAAATAAAACCATAAACAAGCTTGTAAGATGCTTACTAATACTCCACCATGGGCCAGCAACTTGGAAATTGAATCCCAATAAATGATCCTGAAAGGAAAAAGTTCAAGGAATTTTTAGAAGGGTAATCAAATGGAAATCAAAACAAATGCATAAGTTAAAGCTGATGAAAAATTAGAAAGCAAAGAAACAAACTACTGCTTCTCATTATACATAAGTGCAAATTGTACAATTCAGATTATGAGATTCTAGCAGCCTGGACAAGAACTTTTTGATAATCAGTTATTTGTTAATATATTTTGGTGTACAAGTGAGATCGAATGGGCAAAGGGAGATATTGCAGTAAAGATGGTGTCATTATTACCTTTTGATAGGCCCTTCAGGATGCAAGCCAATGGCATCAAGAGTCCCCTTATCCATTATAAGTTGAAACTGCCTTTCCAACTTAGTCTCAAGAATATCATCAACCTAAGGACCAAATGAAAATGGCAACAGTCAAGGTTCTTTGAGAATAATCAAGCCAACAAGAAAATTATCCATATGTAGGACTTTGACTTTCAATAGGAATATGTTTATGCTCCATTATCTGCACAAGAAACCTAAAACTCCATCTTTATCTCTTACATGAGCATTTGAAGTCTTAATATCCTGTTTTCTTCACAAAATGGATATCAACTTTGTTGTTTGGGCGACATAGTTAAGGAAGTTGTAAAGATTAAACAAATATCTAAAAATAAATAAGAATGGTTGAGAAGTATAAAGATTAAACAAATATCTAAAAAATAAGACCCAGGATGCATCTACCGGCAAAAGGGTTTCTCAACAACAAATGCAACAAAATTAAACTAATTATGTTTTCTTAATCAAGGCAAAGAGATAATGAAGTCATAAAGATAACACAAGAATCAAAGTAAGATCCAAGACAATGTCGATGTACAAGTATGTATGAAATACATAAATACACAATGAAAGAGAACAAACCAATGCATGCATAAAAAGCAATTCATTTCACATGGGAGGTAAGCACTCCAAATAAAAGAGTATGATAATACTAAAATTTTCTGGTAGTATAGACTGAAGGAAAGAAAAAAAGAGAAAGAAAACAGCCCATAATTAGATTCAGTTAGAATTCTTAGACATTCCATCCATACCAGAAACTTGATGTTTGAATATCCATCTCGGTCAGCAAGGCTCCGAGCAAGGTCAATCGCCCCTTCACTATAATCTGTTCCCGTCAAATCTGTGAACCTAAATTAAAAAATCAAAGCATTCACTTGACCATTACATAAATGCAATAATAAAAAAAATTTAGTTTCTTAACCCATAAATTTATCAGCAGGTTGACCCAAGGCCTACACATATCTTACACCACCATTAATTTAACAAAAATCAAATAGAATTGACCAACACCAAAGTGGCACACAACGGAATAACATAAATAATCTTTCCTCAGCCTTTTCTATTCAGTTTTACTTGCTCTGTTAATCCAATCACTTAACATGTCCCTAGAACACATGATAATCAGCTTTAGAAAAATCATACTTAAGATTAACTGCTTGAGAACATATTCAAATAAGATTTTAGAACAAGAATCATGCATGAAATTTCCCTTGCTTTTTTTTCTTCCTCAATTTGCACAAACTGCAGCAAGTGATGAACTACTGTTCTCCTATTATCTCTCTAGAAGAATAAGCATCATGGGTGATATGGAGAATAGACTCATTAGGAAGTTGAACTTCAGTAAATTGAAATAGTAGCAAAATAAATTAATTTTGAAGTACTCAGCCTTATCCAACTTCATTGTTTTGAGCCAAAATAATAGTGCTTTACTCATTAAAAAAATATAACAAAATACTAGCACTTTCATTTTATTTATTTACCCATGTTGCCCAGGAATTTAAGTAAATCCTAAGAGACTTGATCGTACAGGACTAGTCCAGCTAGATATTTAGTTCACGCCACATGCTGGTTAATAGCCCTTGGCTCCAGACAGGAAATTTTATTGAGGACCAATTCACTTAATATACAGGTTTTAAAGATAATAACTGCTGCATCTGGAAAATTGCTTTTGCAGAATAAGGTTGGAGTGACAGGAAATTTGTTTAGAAAAAGATCTTAGTTAAAGGCTTGATTCAGCAACTTATTAAGGATGAAATTTGCAAGTTATGGTTTCTCCAAGTGTGATGCACACACTTGGAAAGATGGTATTTGCAAGGTACTAGTTCTACTACTCTTCAAAGGAACTTCGGCTTTGGGGATTTCATGCTGTTCCTTATGTTTCAGATTCTTACACACATTGATGCATCCATAAAAATCTTAAGCTAACTAGCTAATGCAAAAGAACATCCAGAATTCTAGAGTCATCAATGAGGTTACAGCCTCCATTACTACAGTAAGCTCTTTCTGATTAAAGGAGAAACGTTGATTACTCAATTCAAATACAAAACATGAATAAGTAAAAAATTGAACAGCCCACAAAGTATTTGATAAATATCCCAAACAAAATTATATATATATGCAATTATTAATGAGTTGAATATTCTCAAGTTGTTAAATATAACTCATTTTTCAAGCAATACTGCAAGGATGGCTACATTGCCAGATTGGAACACTTGTGCAGCTTTTTTAAATATCTCTATTGCTTTACTCAACATTTATATGCATTCTTAGATATCCATAGTTGAAACATACAAATGTAAATGAAAACCTTTCCATCTTTAAGTAATATTGCATCCTTTTCTTCAAAAAATATGCGTTCATGTCCATTATCACTCTCAATATATCGGCCAACCTAAATTCAAGACCTTAAGTCCAAGAGCACCTCTTATCTACTTATCCCATCAATCCAGCAAAAATATGTAATATAATTTTTGGGTAGAGCAATAGCATGAACAATATGCAAACCAAGTTATTGTCCAACTTGAAAGACTATACATTAATTTTATCTTGAATTAGTTTTTAGTAGCATATAATACCAGAGCTACAGGAAAAATCTCAAAGTGTACCCTTGCTTAGCAAGTTCCTGAAGGAGCAGACCATTGCCAGTGCCAACGTCTAGTACACTCCAGCAAGACAAATATTTATCTCCCTGTTCAACAGGCTCAGGCTTGGGCTCATCAACATGATTTGGCATGTGACCTTGAGAAATATCAATACACAAGCTTTTGGTCCAAGAAGTAACAGTCTCCATGACATCAGCTCCAAACCTATTGAGAGTGGGAGATAAAACAGTGAAAAAATAACCTGATCAAAAGACCTAAACTGAAATTATCATAAACAAAAGTTCTTAGAATCCTTTACTTATTAGAAAGTTATAAAACCCAGCCCAGAAAACAACTCAAAGAAAGGTATCAAGTCAGCAAGGTCATTGGGGGAAGCATTGAAATGCATATTAAATTAAATTCTATTTAATATATTATACACAAATTACGTACTTGTGTTAATAACAAAATATTTTTGCAGTAGCACAAAAAGCATGCCTAGCTTGAAGGAAAAATTACAAAGTTAAGTTAATGCTAACCAATTTTCACCAGCATGGCCATGTTCACGAAAATTCGCCAGCTCATCTGCATATGCACCATCCCAATAACTCTGAAGACCAAGCATTGATGTCATTGCATCAGCATCTGGTTCATCCTTGTCAGAACTGTGAGTACAACACAAACCATACAAGTCCATGCTAAACAATTAGTAATGATAAATATACATTCTTCAACTTTTTTTAGCAATAGGTTAAACATATAACATTGTCCTCCTATAATTCCACCAATAAAAGTCAAATCCCAAAAATTCAACTAAAAAGCCTCCATTTAGTTGTTACTTTTCCTACTTGCCAGAGAAAAGTATAATGTGTATAGTCTTGAAGAACTAAAAATAAAAATTGCAAAGCCAACAAAATGCATGATCTTTTACATTTGCAGGGAAAATATATGTTTAAATTGGCATTTTCTACTAATTATTTGCTCATTTTTAATCATAAATGATTTTGTTTTGTTCTGTTTGTTATTTCTTAATTGCAACACCCAAAACCAGCAAGTAACAAAAGAATCAAAATAAAAGCAAAGAACTTGCTTGCTTCGCAATTTCATTCATTTATACCACTAAATAATTAGGTATTGAAATGTAAAAATCTTATTATTTGACTGTGAAGAATTAAAAATTCTAAAGATTGATCGTCTGGGCAGTTTTTCATTTCATTTCAATAGCATTGATCCGCATATAATTTTTTTTCTAAAAAAAAATAAAAATTCCACTTATAATAGCCTTAATTTCCACAAAAATAAGAAGGTAACATAAACTATGAAATTTTCCCATCCAAAAGTCAAAGTAAGACAGTTAAATGTCAATTTCACATTCGGGCAAAGCAAAGATTTTTATTTTAATTGTCAATAGATCAAATCTCAAGCTTCAAAATTCAAAACCAAAGACAAAAAATTAAGTAAGCTCCGATTTCACTTTCTACAACTCCAAAACCTTTATTTACTATCTCTCTTGAAAACTCAAAACCTACCCAAACGCATAAAAACGGGGGCAAAAAAAAAGATTAGATAAAAGCAAAACCTGTAATCGGAGGCGGCACGGAAATTGGCAGCGGAGGAGAGGGCTTCGGCGGCATCAGCGTGGCGCTGCTCATCGTCAAGTGTGCTTCCGTAATCGCTCTTTATAGACCAGGAATCCGCAGCCACCGAACGTTCGTCGTCGGACGCCACTTCTCGACCGGTCTGCAGCTGTTGCTGCGACGGCGGATGTTGCTGGGTTGGGTCCGGTGACTCTTCGGGCGCCAATCGGATTCCCGCCATGGCTTTCAAGGTATTTATTTAAAAAAAAAAAAAGAAGAAATTTGGGTTAATTCGTTAGTGCAGAAAGACTGAGAGTTGATGGGTTTGCGAGTTACGACTTTGTTCTTGTTGAAGGAAAGAAGAAGATTAAGAGATTTTGAGAGATTCTTTTTCTGAAGCGTTCTTTTAGTAATTTTCAGTTCTTGGTGAGATATGCTATTTAAGTCATCTTATAGGACGATAGCTACAATAAAATCATATCTTATATTATATTTAATTTATATTTAAAATATTATAATATTATAATAAAAATTTATTCATTTTAAATAATTATTTTTAATTTTTTCAAAGTTTAAAGAATTAATTTTAATTCATAGGATTGAATTTATATATTTTATTATATTTTTAAAAATTATATTAATAATTTAAATTATATAAATATTAAAAAATAATTTTAATCAATAAATAAATTATTTTATTTTAATTTTTACACAAATTAAATATAAAATAATTTTTTTTAATTTAATTATATTTATAATATTTTTTTATTTTATCTTATCATATGTTATATATCAAACACATTTTATTACATAAAATAAGTTTGTTTATAAATTTAATATTAAATATTTAAGTGATTGGTCAATTTAGAAGTAAACCTTTTATGTTATTGAAATAAAGATAAAATGTTATTCATTTACACAATGTAAAACCTTCACACAGAAATATTAAGGTGCAACACATGCCCCTTTTTAAGTGACAGATGAAAATAAGTATAATTTTTTAATTTTTAAAATTATTTTTAGTTTTTCTTTTTTTTTTCTTTTCGAAACCTAGGTCTGTTTACCTTCATGATTCATCCTTTCTTCTTGTTCGTTCAACCTAAAATTTCATAAAAATTCAGGACATTTAGGGAGAAAGAAAAATAAATTATAATTGTGTGCTCGTGCTTCAATAAGAAAAAAGAAAATCAGAGAAAAAAAAAGAAAACCCCAATTCTATAAATATCGAATTAGAGAAGAAAATCCAAAACAAGAACCGTTGAGAAAAAAAAAGTTGGGCAGCGAAAGGAAGATACGAAGCCCAGCAACCAATCCGCCGCCCGCATCAACCTCAAAGTCAGAGGTCAAGTCCCTCTCTATTTTTCTGTTTTTTTTTTTTTTTTTTTAAGTCTTTTAGGGTTTATTTTTCTTTTTAAATTTGAATTCTTTTTCCGTTTGAATCTTCCTTTTTTTTTTTTAGTTTATTAATGTTGAAAAATAAAGTAGCGTTTAGTTTTAGAAAATAAAAGTTATTTTTTTAATTTTTTTAAAAAATAAAAAAATAAGTGCAAACATATTTGGCAATTAAAAATAAAAAACAAATTTTTTAAAAATAAGAATAAAAATGAATTGAAATATAAAAATAAAAAAAAATATTTTTAAATATGAAAATAAGATATATATATTTTGTGTTTTGTAAGTTATAATATTTAACACTTTTTAATATCATTAATTAATAAATATATATTATATTTATAATTAAATATCATTAATAGTAATATAATTGAATATTTTATTTATTTTTTTATTCCATATTTAAAAAAAATTAATTTTTATTTTCATTTATCAAATATATTTTTTAAAATATAAAAAATATTTTCTAAAATAAAAAAAAAAATCTCAAACCAAACAAAGCCTAAAACCCTATTTTTCCCCTTTCATTTGTTTGTTGGGTTGGGTTGTTTTAATTTTTTTCATCAAATATAGAAAATTATGATACTATGGGTAAGTATTGGATTCATAATTCTAAAACTGTAAGATATATTTGAGTTTTGAAATTAAATAAGATGCTGATCGAGTAATTGCCAAAAGTAAGGTTACACGAGATTTAGAAATTTTCTCCAAATGAAAATAAAATGATAATTTGTTTTTTATTTTCCATTTAAGATAAATAATTTTTTTTATTGAGTTTAAAAACAAAAACAGTCTAAAAAAGTCCAAGTCAGCAAGAATTTAATCTAAATTAATAAAAAAGAGTCAAGTCATCTTGAGTTGCGACTTAACATTTTCGTTTAAGAAAGTCTGAAATCAACATAATTCGATAATATTTTTATTCAGATTTAAATGAAAAATTTTTAATTTTATATCGAGCAATCATATAAATGTGTAACTTTATATTATGCATTTAGCTTTTTTCAATTCAAGAGATCTCTAAGCTTTACCACGTTACTTTTTTTTTTTACGTGAAATTTGGTTGCATGGCATTTGTAACTCTCTTTGATTGTGTTATGTCGAGATCCAAGACCTACATAATTTTTTAAATAAAAAATTTAACCAATTTTCTAGTTTTGCCCAAATATCACTATTTTCGCATCAATATTATATTTCAAAATTTGTTTTTCATGTACAATTGGCTACTTTTAACAGGAGCAACAAATGGATTATTCCAGTCGCATTTAAATTTAATTATTTTATATTGGACTATTTTGCATAAAAAATTAGATAATTTTGGAATTAATTATTTTGATTTTGCATTAAATTTTGGATTAAGAAAAATTTGAATTTTTTGAATTCGGTTCAAGTTGGATTTGAATGGAAAAAACAATAAAAAAGCCTAAATTTTATCATTTTATTTAAATAAATTTTTATATTTTTATTGTACCCAAAGATCCTTAACTTTTAATTTGCATCCAAATAAGTTTTTAATCTTTATTTTGTTCCTAAATAAGTCTTAAATAAATTAATCTTTTATTTAAATCGAAGGCTTATATGGATTCAAATAAAAGGATAAGAGTTTATTGGGGCATAATAAAAATGTAGAGACTTGTTTAAAAAAAATTAAAAATTTGATTTTTTTAATGAGATTATTTTGAAGAAAAAGTTAAATAATTTGGATTCGATTATTTTGATTTCGCATTAAATATCAAATCAAGAAAATTCAAATCCTTTGAGTTTGGTTTAAATTGGATTTGAATTGAGAAAAATAATTAAAACAACATGCTAAAATAACAATAAAAAAATCTATGAATTTTATCATTTTATTTAAATAAACTTTTTTATAATTTTATTGCACCTAAATAATAAAAAAAAACTCTTAAAATTTACCACTTTATTATATAAACTATTAAAATTTTCTTACAACCAAATAAACCCTTAATTTTTAATTTGCAACTAAATAAACCCTTAATCTTTAAATTTTTTCCAAATAAACTCTTAACTTATAATTTATATTTAAATAAATCCTTAACATAAACCAATTTTTCATTTGAAATAAGAGTTTATTTAAAAAGAAATTAAAAAAATTTATTTAGATACAACAAAAAATATAAAAAAATAAGTGAAATAACTTAAGGTTTTTTCAGTATTTTAGCCAAAAAAAATCGAATCAATTTTGATTCAATTACTTAATCGGTTAACCATTGCATAATTCTAAGTTGATTTTCCATAATTTTGTTTATGGTATGCATGAAGAAAAATGGACCACAAAAGTGAAATTTTAAATTTAACTAGACTCCAAATATATAACATTGATATTATTGGAAAAGAATTATATTCTTATAGTAATATGGTAGTTTGGTCATTAATTATGGTATTTAAATATTTATTGTTAGTCTTAAATTTATGATAAATTCATTTTGAATTTGAGTTAATTATTTAGATTGGACTAATTTGATTTCGAATCAAGGCAAGTTTGAGTTATTGATATTTATAATTAAATTGAATTGATTAAAAAT